ATATTTGCTGGAAACACCCATTGACAACAATTATTGGTTTGCCAATCAAGAAGAAACCGTTTGTAAGTGTATGAAACTTGTAAATATATTTGGTCAGAAAAAGGTAAACACACCTGAGTGTACCGCTTTGGTGATACAGGACATATAAGTATAACCACCCACCAGCTCGCCTGTACCGCAAATACGATATATTTTATAATTCAATGTACCTGCATGTACGCGGCATTTTCAACAATAGATAATATTAACAATAAGTTAAAAGGAGCAAAATGTTAATATTTTGATGTATTTCGTAAAAGAAAATGAACAACACTGAAAATAAGCCACAGATAGATATAAAGATCATATCATTATTCTGCAAACATTTAATCAGAAGATTAAAGTGAGTTTTTCTGTACTTGATACAGATTTTTCATTTCTATGGAAAATTTGACTAAGGTTGGTTTCAAACAGCATTCAATAAAAAGGAAATCTTAAAGCTAAAAAAAAACATACCTTACGGTCGGCGCGTTTTATGCATTTTACACAAGGTTGTAATCTAGAGCAAACATTTTATTCATAATTAACGTTATCTACTATAAACAAAAAATCCAACCGCCTGGTTTAAATGGGACATCACATCTTGATTCAGTCTATATCCCCCCTTTTCTTTCAATATTACAAATAATGTACGTTACAAAGACATTATGTTAGCTTTTGAAAAGGCTAGGAAAGCCATCCAGTGGCATATTTTTCATTGCTTTGCAATGAACTAGGGTTTTCCTTGTAATACTAGTGTGTAGGCTTTTACCCTTGCAATAAACAAGAAAAAAATAATGGGGGCGAGTTGTCCTAAAATGGGGAGACTTGTCTTCGTGGCGAGTTGACCTGATACTGTTCCGTTACCTGTCAGAGAAATATCCTGGCCAATCGTTGGTATCTGTCAGCAGGTTTTGTTCTTTTCTTCAAGAATGATTATAAACATCAACGATGGAAAATATTTTAAATGTAAATTTACATTTTATAAAATGTTCCTTGAATTTGAATTATTTGAATAATGAGATAGGGGAACGCTTCAGTTATTCCATTGGATGGGATAAAGAACATTAATCTAGAAACATACATGTTTAAACAGAGAGAAAATGGTATAAAATTTTATTGTTATACTGTTAATTTTGGATGCCTATTTTTCGATGCTGGTTGCACATAAAGCTCTTTTTTGCAGTGAAATATGTTATGCTGGTTCTGAAAAATCTTTTAAATTATTTCTTATGAATTCTATCAACAAAGTGTGACAAATATAGTAAATATATCCTGAAAATCCGGGAAAAAATTGAGCCAGTTTTAACATAAAATTCACACTTTTTTAGTAATATCTGAAAATTTACATAATGTACCCCCACTTTTGATGTTCTTTTCTAGATATTCAAGATAACTTTTACCTTTTTGCTTTAAATCAGAAAAAGTGTAAGACTTTAAAATGATTTTTCTTGTATATTGTATATATTATAATGCCGGAAAAATGACATTTTATTAGTGCAGAAAGGTCAAATTATTGATTATGCGAAGCAATTAGAATTTTTTCTTAGTCACAAGTTTTAGGTATCTCTTTTTAAACAGACTTAGAGTTCATTTTGTTTCATGCTTTAATTGGTTAAAAATATTGGAGGGAAAACGTCGAAGATGTAATTTTTAATTAAGACACAAAATTCAGTGCAGAAATGTCATATTTAATGTACTGTAGCGCTAAAAGAAGCATATTGACCCCCATTTTTTGATTTGAATTTTAATTAAGCTATGTATGTAGAAACTAAAAATATACTTGGCAAATAAAGTTTAAGACTTTAATTATCAGGATCGAACGTCGTTAAATGACGTTAAGGATTTACCCGGAATTCTGTTGTCTCATGAAGACAGCTTCACAGTCAAATATCGTTCGACAAAATACAAAAAATTACATTAACTAGATTTGGAAGTGTTATCACTGACTCACTGATATGACGTGTTGTTCAAGAATTGAACAAAACTGTGACAAAAATAAAAAAAAATGCTAAATGTTGTAATGTAAATTTACATTTCATCCAATGGTATTTCATTGCATAGTTTTACAATGTAAAGGGGAAAATGTATCCAGCAAATGGATTATAATAAGTAAGAATTTCAAGGTATAGGATGTTAAAATTATATACACGTAAAATATAGATTTAAAGCAAATGTCTTTATTTAATCTTTTAGCCATTCCAAACAGTCATTTGCTCTATCTCTTTCATGAAATCTTCTCTGAAAAGAGATAACCTGTACATGCATGGTTTAAGCGCACCAATTAAAATCCTTGCCTCACACACATATCGTAAGTCTGCTAAAAATAAAAAAGAGTTATCTTGATGAAAAAGTCTTTTGTAGAAAACAATTGTGATATAAAGTTAATAGATTCTTTAAAACTTGTCAACTATGAAGAAATTGAAAATCAGGATTCCTAATGTCCTTCATAAAAGCTGAAAAAATATCCCATCCTTGATATTGCAGCAAAATATTTGAAATCAGGCGTAACTAATATTACAACAATAAAAAAACAGAAAAAAGATAATCGTTATATACGTATACTGTACTCTTATACATATAGTTGTACAGGACGCAGTTTTATGTGACTGAAGTGTACGTCAATGCATATTTTCTAGAAAAAAACAGACTGATTTACATTGTGCATTTACATGAACAGTGTTTTTCAGAAATCTTGCAAAGCAGAGTTTATAAGAATGTTTTCGTATTTCTGGTAATTTATTGTACAATGTTCAACAAAAAAGCAGGCAAAAATTTGTGTAACTCCTACCATATAAGTCGTGTGAATGACGAAACAACAAACTTATTCTCTATTGCAAAACAAAAATATTGAACGCATGTTTGAGACGGAGTACTGAGATATGGAAAAAAGATTAAAATAGAATGATAATTTACTTTTTCTTCAGACTATAAAAACTCGCCTGTGTGGCGCAGTGGATAGAGCGTCTGCTCTAGAGTCGCAAAGAAAGGAGTTGATTATTACGTCGCAGGTTCGAATTCTGCTGTAGGACGTGGAGACCAGTACGTCCTTCGGATGAGACCGTACAAACCGAGGTCCCGTCTTGCAGTAGGTTCTAGACCGAAAAAGATCCTTCCCTGCCTATTGGCCCTGAGTGCCGAGTATAAGACAAAATTTTCAATTTTCCACTGGCAAGTGGTGGCGTCTGCATAAGAGTGAAAACTTCTCGAGAAGAACGTTAAACAATATACAATCAATCAATCAAAATATTAAAAGCCGTATTGATTCGCATACTCATTACACAAAATTGAGAGCCTAAAGGTTGCAAATAAATATTAAAACCAAAATGTAATTAATATTTTCAAGAGTTGAACATACTTTATGAGAAAGGGGTGTTAAATTCAGAAAACAAGATGGTAAAATATGATAATGATTATTGCAAGGATATGTTCTTTTATACTTCTTTACACAAATATATTCTATATCTTTTGAGAGACAATGGAAATGTTCATGTTGATCGTGTAGAATTTTTCAAGAGATCTCAAGTAGGTTTCATGATACTAAACATGTTAATATATTCTGGTTTGTTTACATTATATCCAATGAAGCCAACTCTTTTAAAGGTCTTGTCTAATTAATGTTTTTTTTCAGCTCCAAATGTATTTTCATTGTAAATGTTAACAAAAGGGACTAGCTTAATTTTTCAAAACACCTACTTCCTTAGATCTACAGAACAATTGAAAAAGTGATAAAACAAGAAATCTGTGAGCCAATGCTCAATATGAATAGCCCGCTCTGATGTAATTAAACACCATCATGTTAATATTCACAAGCTCCATTACGGACAGGACAGGTGCACAGAAAAACAAGAAGTTGACATCAGATTCATAACAAAATTAATCCCACGATATGGCATGCCTCAACACAGAGTGTACTAAACTTTCAAGCATCTGCTATGATTAGTTGATGAGAAAACTGCGACGAAAAATATGTATGAAACGGACAGACGCACAGACAAACAGAAAATTGGCATCGGATTTGTGCAAAAATTAATCCCACTATATGGCATTCTTCAGAAAAGATTGTATTAAAATTTCAAGCATTTGCAATGAGTAGTTGCTGAGAAAACTGCGACGAAAGTTTGGTTCGGACGGACAAAGACAGACAAGAGTAAAACTGTATACCGCCCTTCTCCTTCGGAGCGGTGGTATAATTAGCAACTGCTGTTTTTTTTTCTATTTATATTTTTCTTAACATTATCCTATAGGAAATGTGATCACTAGCATGATGTATTGAATAATCATTGTGATAAAGAGTTTGCGAGAGTGCAATGACTAATCTGCATCATTCAAATTATTACTTTAAGAATATCAAAATTAGTAAACCTACCTTTACAGAAAGTCCAAACATTCGTTTGAAAAAAAATTTTCTGCGTCGTTGTCACAATTTAAAATGCTTTCATGTGAAGCCATTTTTCAATATTCACTACTACCAAAAATTAATAACGATTGTATCCTATCTATTTTTCTTATATTTAGATGTATGGTTCAACTCTGCAAGTTCTTTCTGAATAGAATTACAGTACGTTTGTCAGATTTTAAGTTCAAAATTGATCCCCTTTTTAATGATATTTCAAATGTGCTATTGGTATGAAGCACTTTCTGTTCCACTTTTTATGTTATTTACTTAGTATACAAAATGATTTTCGGCTGCCTTAAAACCTTGCAGGAAAAGAAGATAGCCCAAAATCAAACAAAGTTATGCTATTTTTTAGATATTGAATTGTTGTTATTAACACTTCAAGAACCCCCCCACTCCCTTCCCCCTTACACAGGTTCACCCAAACCCTCGATCCCACAAACTTAGAAATGTCAATAAAGATATACTATAGATACAGGGACTTTTCGCCCTCGTTTTATTTCTTAATTCAAAGAATACAGTATAGTTTGAAACGGGTCAAATATGTATGGAAGTATTTCAAAAAGGGAAGATAAAACTGGGCGAAAATAATACGACATAAGTAATTAAATAAAATAGTCAACAATTTTAATGTTTGTATGTAAGTTCCTCTCAAAATCTCCAATTGCTTCGGAAAGGCAAATGACCACTGTTCCATTTATATGCTTTGGTTCTTTGTTTTCATAAATATTTAATTCTCCGCCGTAAACGCTACCCAATGCAACATTTTTTTCGTTCATTTTTGTAAGAACTATGGCTCCAGAGTCACCAGGGACAGAAAATCGCTGAAATTGGGGTTGTACGAGAATCATTCTTTTATAACCGAATAATTCTGTATTTATTTCGTTTTGTATATATCCATACGTTAAACCAGATTGAGCACCGTATTTAAACACTTTTCTGTGTTGAAGATCCATTAATGATCCATGGAATAGTTCTACTGGTTCGTAAACTTGCCTTTTTATTAAGGTTTCCGCATAATCAGTCAATTTTATGACGCTTATGCTCGATACTCTGTCATTGTAGTAGGTTTCAGGCCAAATACAATGACCAAGCTTGACTCTCTCTCCATCGTTGTCAAAGTATGCAATGTCATCTTTTTTAAGAAGGTGTCCACTGCTTATACATGCTTGTACCATTTTTCCTTTTTCGTTTATATTTACAAACATTCCCAAAGTTCCCATCAATCCATTGTATGTATATATCACGGAACCCGATTTCAAAGACTGGATTGTTATCCTGATCACTTTCACTTTCATTCCAATCAATAATTTTCGGATTTTCCTCAGGCTATGTGAAAAGTCTTCTGATCTGCTTCCTGTTTCGTTTATCAAAATGAGCAGCGTATCCTGATTTACGATGTAACCAAAAACGCCAACCTCTTTAGTTCTACAAAAAAAAGTAAAGTGACAGAAACAGCATGTGCTGATTTTTTTCTATTTACACTTTTCTTTAAATAATACTAAGAGAGATGAGATTGCTAGCATGGTTTAATGACTAATCACTGTGATAACCGTTTTGCAAATAAACATTGACTAATTAGCACCTTTAATGGACTTAATGTTGACTTAATTAACTAAACAAACCTTTTTAGAATGTCCAAACAATCATTTGAAAAGGGTTTTTCTTCGTCATTGTCACATTTCAAAATCTTTTGAAGTGATGCAATTTTTGCTATGTTCATTGCTACCATATTAATTACGTTTGCATCATTATTGCCTATCCTGCATTCAATTGTGTGGTAGAGCTCTGCAAGATCGTTTTCAACAGAGTTACAGTACGATCTGAATAAATCGTGTTTGTCAGAATTCGCGTGCAAAATATGCCCCTTCTTAACTGATCCTCCAAATGCACTGATGATATCAAGCACTTTCTGTTCCTCTCTAACATGTTCTTTTTCGGAAGTATACAAGAAATGATTTTCAGCTGACTTGAAATCTTGCAAGAAACGAAGATATTCCTGAATAAAACAATGTAATGTTGTTAAAAAAAGTATTAAATTATCATTAATATAACTGCCGCACCCCCATCCCTTACACACACAGGAGTAAACCAAAAAATAGGCATTACGGTGATTTTCAAGAGTAATATACAAAAGACTATGTTTTTTTATTAACATTTATAAGATCGTTCAAGGTTTCATGGCATTTTTGTCTCTCCATTATTTGTTTTCTCTTTTGTTTTAAATTTCGATCTTTTCCAAATACATTATATTTTGTTAAAAAGCATACGTATATACAATACTAATTAAAAAAAAAGAAAATCGAACCGAGGAACCAAACAAAATGGAAATAAACAATCTTACCCCATTTATAGGATATTTACCAACACTGCAAATGATTATGCTTTTCGAATGTGACTCTAAAAGAAGAATCATAAAATATTAAGGTGATAACATATCTGAAAATGAATTAAAAGTACACAAAACACGACTGAGGAAAACAACATTAAATACACAGACTTCTTAAATATCTACTTAGATTATCATTTAGTCTTTAAAAAAAATATTCGTTCCAAACATATACCCTTATCAAAGTTTTTTAACTCTTCTACTTCGATGACATTTGGTGCAGACTCGAACAGTGCCATGCAAATTTCATCCAGTTCCTTCTCAGTGTGGTGAATTACTAAAACGCTATCATCAGCTACGTTTTTTCTTCCAGTTAATTTGTATATCAATTGTATTTCCTCTGCTACACGTTTATGGGCTGTAAGTTCTTTTGGTCCGAATTCAAATGTCACTTTTGAAGCATAAGTCCGGCTTTCTTGTTTTTCTTGCCTTTAATTAAAAATATACATTGTATATGTTTTAGTCGCTTTTTCTACATGCACTCTATATGCTCTATTAATACATTTTTATCTGCATTTCAAACCCTCTTGTAGATTCCGAAATTTTATCAGAGATAATGGTGTGCAACAATTCTCCCTGAATCATTGCTTTATAACACATAATGATATAACAACGCAAAATACAACAAACTTGAATTATTTTGCGTTGTTATTTCATTTTGCATCGAGATCAACCAAGAATTATTATGGAAAGTGAAATAACTTCACTCTTTTATAATTTGTGTTGTCATTGCATTTTGGGTTGTAGGAAAGCATAATATTTATTTTGTCCCAGACAAGGTCAAAGTCACACCTTTGCGTTATTTCCGCTTATGGTTTTGTAGGCAGATTGTTTTGGGCGAACTGAAAAAAATCTAATAGAATTGATATTCTCTTTGTCTATTTTGCATTTAACATTTTACCTTTCAAGATGGACATTGGCAATGCATCAATAGGAAAATAAAAAAGAACAAGTGGACATCAAGACGCCTATTAGAACCTTTTACCTTTTATTTGAAGCTTTAAATTATAATTTATCGCTAAATTAATCGATGATTATTGTGCAAGCATATGCGTTTGATAGTTAAGCCTTAATTTCTGTTATACATATTTCAATGATTACAGACATTGCATTAGAAAGAACATGAAGATGCCTTCAATATATGTTCCCGGCGAATAGGCGGAGACATTTAAATTGCATTGAGGTGGAATGTAAACATTAGCAAAATAATGCTTTTTGACAATCATATTTTACACTGCTAATTTGAATGGAGAAGAGAACAATCTTATAGATTCAAAGTACACAAATAAAAAGTGATTCAGGTGTTTAGGGATCGGGTAGATATTTCACCTTACAGACCATAATACTGAGGCGACATGAGCTTAAACTTATTGGTTGCACTTAAAATATCAGAAATCTTTCAAGAAAAACACCCATTACGAAAAATACCAAATAAAATAATAGACATATTATCTTCTCAACCTATTAAAATTTGTGCAAACATCTTCAATAGATTGAGGTTGGAATTTATAGACGCTGTCGCAATAGGAATTTCTGATGACAAACACTAAGGAATGTTTAATGAAAGCGTATCGAACGGAATAGAATGTCACGTGTAAAGTGATTATAATATCAATTGGTTTTAAATGCGTTGATACTCGAGGACCTATTGATTCTGTGGCTTACTCGACCATGGTTTAGAGACTTTATTCAACTAGAGGCCCATGGGCAACATCGCTCACCTGAACACTAAAGCTTGGAAAAAACAGAAACCAGTTTATTATTAAAGTTTAAACCCAAAAGTGGTCCCAACCAATCCTTAAAGGGGAGAGGGTATGAATTGAACAAACTTGAATCTACACTAAGGATGCTAGCATACTTCTTTGACTACATGTGGCTTTTTTTATTTTTACATTTTAACTTTAACTGATTTGAACAAACTTGAATCTACACTCTACACTGCTTAAGGATGTTTCAATATAAATGAAGTGGCGGATCCAGGAATATCGTAAGGGGGAGGGGGGGGCAGTAGAAGTCCGAATGTCAGGCGGCTGTACCGAAGCCAATCGTGAGTCTAAGGCAAGGTACTTTTGGAAGGGGGGTCTGAAAGGTTTTTGCAAATAATGAAATTATGTTTTTTTTTCCTTATTTTAGAATAATCGACACATAAATTTTACTTACAAGAATTTCAAAAGGGGGGCGCACGCCCGTCGCGCCTGTCCTTAAATCCGCCTTTAAAATATGACTATTCATGGCTTTCTATGTAAACTTAGATCGGCCATTGAATCCTCACCCTACCCCCGGGGGTCATGATTTGATCAAAGCTGACTCTACACTACCTGTGGATGCTACCAGATAAATATGATCATTCTTGTCTTTGCTATTCTGGAGAAGAAGATCTTTAAGAAATTTCCCCATATATTTGTATTTAAAATTTTGATCGGTCATTGTGGCCCGCCCTTTCCCCAGGGTTCATGATTTGAACAAACTTGAATATACACTACCTGAGGATGCTTTCCTAAAAGTTTCAAGTTTCCTGGTACAGTGCACTTCTTGAGAAGAAGATTTTTAAAACATATCACCAAAGGAGTATATATGATAAGAGCCAATTTTGGCCCCCCTAAAAATCAACATTTTAGAATGACATTCAGATATGTTTTATTTATATTTATTTTGTAGAAGAGATTATATTAGAAATATTTCCAATATATTTTTCACATTTATATGCACTCACTAGCTGTAAATGACATGAGAAATAATGCTATTTTTGCTATCTAACAAAAAAGCCAAAAATATGCCTTTTTCTTGATGTTTTTTCCTATGGGAAACATAGAGTGCAGTGTAGAACATAAATGATTTTTCTGTTTCTAATTAGTATTGAATAGATACATCTTTGGTAAAAATATAAATCTTGTTCTAGGCTGCGCTCTATATTTTCTGAAAGAAAAACTGCTTGAAAATATGCAGTTTTATACAAAATATGCTAAAATGGCGGGAAAACGTGATTTTTATGATGTCATATTTCTAAAATAACGGCATTTTGATCAAAATGAAAATGACCAATAAAGGTCGCATAGATAGCTGTACAAATTAAAGCTATATATAAAGTAAAAAATATTAAGATATCCATGTTAAGGGGCCAATTGAGACACTAACCATATATCGCACTATTTCTGAATTATGTCGCCTTGAATAAGAGCGTGGTCCTTCATTCAAACAAACTTGAATCCCCTTTACATCACCTAAGGATACTTTGTGGCAAGTTTGGCTGAAATTGGCCCCGTGGTTCTTGAGAAGAAAATTAAATGTGAAACGTTTACGACATAGACAACGACAACGACGCCAACGACAGACGACGGACAAATTTTGATAAAAAAAAAAAAAGCTCACTTTAGCCTTCGGCTCAGGTGAGCTAAAAAATTAAATATGAGTCGCATCTTGTACTTGTCCAACATTATCCATTGGGCATGTCTAAGTTTAATCGATTCGTGATATTCCAAAAATTCCGTGCTCTCAGGATAGACCTTAAGAAAATGTGATTGATAGCACATAATGAGACGATTTCTGTGCAAATGAGACCCTTGAACAAGTTGCAGCTCGATGTAAACAATGTCGTTAGAAAAGTGGAATACAAAGAATAATAATAGAAAATGTGACAAATCTAGTAGACCCCCGTTTTAAAAGATGGTGTCGTTCAGCATTATTAAATACTTTCATTTGATATAATACATGTACACCAAACCCGCTCTTGAGATATTACATGTATGTAATACATATACATGTAAAAATGAAGTTAACACCTGGACCCAATTCTCATGGCTTTATTGCAGTCATCCTTTGCAGTAAATGAACACTTTTTTAAAAAAGCAAGGATAAAATTGCAAGTTAAATTGATATTATTGTTCGTTGTCTTCATTTTTTTTTTTTATTTAAAAATGAAATCCATCGGGAGACATATTTATTTATTATACTTTCATGTTAAATACTAAAATCTGATTGGTTTAGACGCAGTTAACAATCTGTTCGATTACCCTGAGCCTAAGTAACACACGTGGCAACGGGTAACACAACGGTAATGCCACATACGTGGAAATTATGCGCGTACGGTTCACCGTAGAATTCTCAAAACATCAGTTGCGCGTTTGAAAGAACCGGAATGAACTTGACGTCAAAAAAAGCTTGCATCCGATATAGATAACTTGAAAACAACAAACGACAGACGATACATGCTAGCGAGTGTAGGAAACATGCTTGCGAGCCAGAAATAACGAAACTTTATATGATGAATGACTCAAATTCGAGTATCAAACAAACAATAAAGAGATTAGTGAGCCGGTGAGTGTGAAAGCTTTCTATACATGAACGTAAAGGCGATCGACGAGTTTTTTTTTTTTTTTTTTTTTTTTTTTTTTTTTTTGCTGACGTCCTAAATCAATAAGACATTCAGTATAATAAAATAAATGGTGCCTGTTTTGGAGGGTAACATTTGAAATTTACACCCCTCGGAAAACCATTGTCAACTGATGCGTCGTATCTATGGAAACTAAAAGGAATGAAAAATGGTTAACTAGATTTCAAGTCAAAATTATTCAATTGACACAATGATTTCAATTTAGTGTCTTTAACCTTAGAAGGATACTTATAAGATTGATGCTTCTTGGAATATTGGCATAACATTTTTGTTAGTGTGTCCATCTTTACTATGACTCCGAAGATTAACTAAAAACTGTAATGTCTACTGAAAATGTTGAATATCTTTGAATTAAGGTAAGTCACTCATGAAATTTGTAAAATCAAGGATTTTTCGAGAAGTATATTTTGGATAAGTACTCATAAAATGTAACTCAAAATTGCAAAGACAATAGGGGATCAGTGTGCATCCTACTGATCTACGGTACATTTAAGTTGACGTTTTTGCACTTAAATTTCATCTCTTTAGTTAATTACTTTAATTCTAATTATATTTGATCAGATGTAAGCATGGCAATATATATACAGCAAAAGTCGGTTATAACGAAGTCACAGGGACCCATGAAATTACTTCGCTATATCCGTAATTCATTATAACCGTATAAGAAGTTCATTAAATTTATATAGCTGGGGATCCAAGATGACTTCGCTAAATCCGTAAATTCGCAATATCCGTGTTCGTACTAACCGAATTTTGCTGTAATCTTATTTTAGGTAAAATTGTTTGAATAATACTTATCATTGAAAAATCTTGCAAATTAATGCTCGTAATTTTTTGTTTGACCTTTATGCACTAAAAATTAACATATTTAGGGTATTAAAAAATTAATAGGCAATGCAATTTTTTTTTATATCATACTTTTTACGACTTATGTGCTGATCAGTCACAAGTATTGAGTAGTTTAAAATAATGAAGGAAAAAGGTGGAGTCAGTGATGTTAATTTTGAAATGCTGGTATTTGTCAAAATATGAGATTTTCAGGCTAAAATGGTGTAAATTTGATCTTGACTTCTTTAATATATTTTCATATTTTTGGAAAAGTTTGTTGAGGGAAGGTTTAAAACTTAGTCTTAAAATATAAATTAAGATCTATATTAAATATTTTTAGCAATATCATAACGGAAAATATTATCCGAGTAAAAGTATGTGAGGCTTAATTTCCATTGCATTAAATTTTATAAATGTGCAGATTTGCAGAATTTTCTGCTAAATTTCCTTCCACCAAAAGAAATAGTCCTTCATAAACCTTGCTTCCTTGTAGATTTTTGAGCAGTTTTTTCGTTGAATGTTATAAAAATTTACATTGTTGAATTTAAATATGTTATAAAAATTGAATTTTAACAAGTAGTTTTGAAGTTAAAGCTTCTGCGTGAACTTTTCTAAAAAGCTGATGAGTGACATACCTTAACTGGCATGGGACTTTAAGTATTTTTCATCTTTTTAATGAGGTTTTATTTCATTTTCCATTTATTGAACATGTTAATTTTGTTTCAATATAAAATTGATTTTCACCCACGTTTTCAGCGAAAATCAGATGAGTACGTTGACATGTCGAAATTGTTGTGTATTTTTTATTTTTTATACCCGATTAAAACTTACCTAAGTAAGGCAGATGATGGTAAATCCAATTCCTTTCCTACAGAAAAAAGTAGAGATTTTTTTTATTTCTTTTCATACTAAATTTCATGGCGAGTGAAATTTGAGGTAAATTGGAAAGGAATTATATTTTGATATCACGTTTTACCTGTGATTTCCTGTGGGTAAATGCGTTTTCCCATCAAAGTGATTTCTTGTAAACTATACTTCTTGAAAATGGAAAAGTTGCATGACAGTACGACTCCAAGATACTTTTCCTTTATCAAAAAATGTACCAGCACAGAACCATTCGATATTTCGCACAACAAAATGTCTTCCGGGTCATTCATATCCAGGATATCTGACAGTTGCTTTCGCATTTTATCTATTTCACCTTCACCAAAGTCATTAATGCATTTGTTTAGATGCAGAACAAGTTCAAAATAACCTTTTAAAAAGACAGATATATAATTAAAAGCATTGGAAGCAAGATTTTTTTAATATCGATAAAATGTAAACTAGTTAGTGTTTATTGGCATTAATTCCAATTGTTTATGCTAAGTGATAAGTGATAAGCACGAAAAAGACCAAGTGCTTAATGGCCTTGGTTGCCCAGCTTTAATCAAAATTTGCAGCTCTCCACCGCCGAGTGGTGGTGTCTCTATATGAGTGAAAAATTCTCGAGATGGACATTCAACAACAAAAAACAAAACAAATTATGTGTATATGTATAAATAAATCAAATTAAAGAGCATTGTCCTTTTTATCTCTATTCTATTCCTGAGTTTTATTTTCAAATTTCTTTTTTTGTAAAATGATTTTTTGATGATCACCACAAAGGGTATACAAAAGGTTGTTCGATTAGTTCGTAGACGATGTCAATCTTGGTTATACTTCTCACTATAAATTTACATAAGCACAATATAATATGTACACGTATTTGTTTTGTTCTTGTGTAAAGTTTCATTGCATTCGATTGAACAGAAATCAATCAACTTCATTTAAAAATCAACATGTTTTGTACCAGCAGAGCACACTAAACTGCATCAAGAATTTGTGACAAATACCTAAATTTCACACAGTATTATCCAATATCCATTCTTTTGAAAACGTCGTCGTTTTTGTCGTTTTCTATCTCCTCAAGTTGATTTCTTTTCAACAAAGCAAAATATTGAGCCATTATTAGGAGTACGAATCGATGTAACAATTCTTAATTTGATTTTTAGGTTGTTTTTTCGTTTTTTCTGCATTTTACACAGAATATGACCACAGACATTATTTAGTGTACTTCTTGTAACTTGTCAAATTTTGACCTGCTTCGCGACCCAATTTTTTAGCATTTTTTAAAATATGCATAAGTTTTGAATAAATTGTGATATCTTAAAAAGAATTAATAAAAATCATTTGAATTAATTGATAAAATATTTCCACCAGATTTGGATAACATTTGACGCCAAATAAAAGAAATGAGACAGTAGGCCACGACCTTTTCGAACAACCCTCGTTTGTACCACTTTAGAACTATAAAGCTTTGTAGTATAATAAGCTCATGAAATTATCAAGAAGACTGTCCTCAGATTTTACAAATTCATGAATATACCGTTAAGTCTCATGACGAATCAACTTACTAGAATTTATTATGATTAACATAAAAAAAAGTAAAATAATAAAATTTCAACAAAGTACGTTTCCCTTATGTCTTTTTTTAGAAAAGAACCTGGGTTCTGTCTTAACTTCCAATGAAAGGGCAACTTTCAAAGTAAATTGGCTCTGTCGCAATACATACGCATGTATATTGGTTTTATTGCTCCGTATAGAACAAAATAATACTGTATCTACTACTAGTATCAAATGGAAAAAAAGTAAACTTAATTATGAGTTATAATAATATGTCTTTACCTTTTTTGCAAACACTTCCTTTTGTATAGTAAATCCTTTTGTGTTTCATTGCAAAGTCGATGCATTGATCTTTTAGCTTATGTTCGTTTACTTTATCTAAAAAAGCTTCCAGTAGACACATGTTCAAGGTAAAATCGTACATCTTATGCAGCTGTAACAGAACATTGCTGCCATCTGGTAGTCCATCTATCGGTTGATAGTTTTTGTCTTTCTTTGGGTCTGAAATTTTTTTGTATAAATGAATAAAGGCTCAATACAGCATTTCAGGTAAACGAAAAACATCAAGAGTATTGCTCATGTATAACAAATCTCGTCGAAGTCACTCGTTTTTAACATGGTACTTTGCTTGATACTGTTCACTGAAGTGTATGTAAATCAACTTCCCTGCTCTTGCATACAACCAAAGGATTTAAATCCTTATCATCTGCAGGATTTTCTCTCATTCTTAACCCCCTTAATCTCTATATAGAATAACCTTTTTTTGAATTGCCATCATTTTAAAATGGAATCAATTGTGTTTTTTTTAATACGTACTATTTATTTTTTATCTTGGACATTTATCTACATGTCTATTCAATTTGGAAAGAGCAAAACAGCTTTTATGGTTTCATTTTTTTTCTTAACAATTTTAATTACCCTAATTTTTGCAATGCATACAAAACAGAAATAGAATATTTTTTTTAAATGAAACGCTTTGATGGATTACTGGACAATTGACCAATATCAGCTTTCTTCGAGTTTCAAATGGTACATGTATTGTTTTCAAATACTATTTAGCTTGTATTTTTCATACAAGAATAATCCAAGAAAACGCAAGCGTAAAAGTACATTTCATCTGCAAAATTTACTTGAGCTGTTTGAGCAATTACATTTAACAGTCATTAGATAATGACGTAGTGATTACTTATCGTTTTCTTGGGAATACATAACAGGTACATAAGAAACTTTTATATTTTAAAAGTTCTTTCTGAACATAAGAAAGCTTCTCGAACTCGTCCCAAGAAATCATCTCATCCCAATTGAAACTAATTTCAAAATAATAATGAAAAAAAAACCTTGAAAGATAATTCAGCAGAAATTTGCACGCAGGTGTCTTTGCAAAAAATAAAAGTTAGTCAGAGTAGGCGACTTTATTTATTAATCATTTTTAATATTTACATGACTACATTGGCTATCAACAAATGTTGAAATAGGACAGAAATCAAATATAAATAAACCTTATGAAAATTATTAATACGAGGGTTGTTTCTTCAATTACTGAGACATCCTGGATTTTTTTTCTTTCCTATGAAAGCTTTTTGATAAAAAAAAAAAATGGCACGTATATATGTCTGATAACCACTAAAAATTCATTACAGCAAAAAATATTTCACAGATATATTATTTATTTATTGCATAATACTGAGGGAAATATGAAGACTCATTCAGCCAAGAAAAGTCATATTCTCCGAGGGCTTCGCCTGAGGGAAATATGATATTTCTTGGCTGAATAAGTCTTCATGTTTCCCGAACATTCATGAAATAAATTGTTAATTATACCGAGACATGCAAAACCTTTGAAATGAACAGAAACTTTCAAACTTGGCATCGCTCTCAAATTCACTTTCATTTTTACGTAAAGTTACAGTTGTACTTTAAAATCCTTTGGTTTTTAAGTATTTGGTCAACACTTTATCATCAGTTCTGTAACGTTAATCAGGCTATCGTGACGTCATCTTCTTTCGGGAGTTTTCATTTAACGAACGAGAACTATATTGCGGAAAAATACACTACGTGTTCTGAAGAGGTGGAATACGATGAAAAGCGTGCCAACGGCCGGGAAATATGATGTTTAACAGACCGATCACGTTAAAAACCCAGAACCAATCAGATAACATGTTGTTTAGAATATTTATAATGAGGTATAATAATATTTCTTCTTTATAGTGGTACATGTATATATTTATGTGTCAATGGTAAGGGTACCTGGCGCAGTCTCAAAATTGGTTATTGAAAAACTTTAAGACCAACGTTCAAACTCCCTGTGGACCTCCAGTAAGAATTTGATTAAATAAAACTCTCTATATATCCATTTTTCTATTTCATATCGCGGAATTTTAATGTAGTTTCGATGAACTACGAAGATCATATCAAAAACTTAAGCACAGTACATAAACCTGATTATAACAACAAAATGAACTTTGACATCAAGGGTGCAGCGACTATACCTAAAATATGTGTAGCGCTGTAGAAAACTCTTTTCATAACTAAATGACCTACAAAAACAAAAGGAATGCAAAAAACGTAAATGCCTTAGTTGATTTTTTAAACATAAAACTTTTGATGGATCCCGTGGGTGACTGCTTAATACAGGTTTGACTGTATATATGTTTATTTTAAAGATAATTTAACTAGACTAAAATCATAGGCCCCGGACGACCAACAATCATTACGGACTAAATAACCTTGATCCACGGTGTAAAAATAGGTCCTCTGTGCTACTAAATACAAATTTTACAATGGGGAAACAATCACACCCATTATATTTTTTCAGCAATATTTTAAGAGAAAAGAGAGTTTATTTTTTTAAAAGGTCACATGTAATGACAGTAAAAGAGTTAATACTTTCCGGTTGATTTAGCGTGTGAAAAATCTACAGCTGGTGTGACGTTAAAATGATGTAGTGATACTGCTCCAGGTCAATAAACATATATTAAAGTTCATATCTGTAATTTTACTATTTTACCTCTTAAGTTGAAAATTTGCAATTTTGTTCAATTCGTGAAAAAATTTTGACGCATTTCTTTAATATACTGTATGTGTACTTCGGGCTTCATTTTTAGCGGCTTTGTCGCAGACAACAATTCGCTAATTCATGAATACGGCTAAGAAAACATTAACATATTTAAAAAAAAACCTAACAGATGTATACCTGATCGTGTACAAAATATATTAACACTTTATTTTTGAAGATATCATTGTTTATTTTTGACGAATTTATTATGCCGATAGTGGAAACAACCATATGTTGTTCTTTATGATAACGCCACAACTCCATGCACAGTGATTACGCTAAAATTGGAATAGGCCAAATAATGTACACGTACAGAACCTCCTCCCTTTATGTAGCGAGAGTAAATGTCTCAATAATTTCTGAATAGCCCTCGTATTGCCAAAAATTAGAGCAGTGAAATTCGATTTGACCATTTATTTTATATTTAACCTGTTGATTGATCAGGTATCATCTAATAAACCCACTGTGGTATCATCTTGTTATGTAAAAAGGAAATACTTCATTTTTGTAAACAATAGAAATGGCCATGATATGATAAGTACGAGTATAAAATTTCAAGGAAAATATAATGACATTGACCTAACTTTGGTCCTTCCATAAAACGGTCAAATATAAATCAATGGTTCCAATACTTGTTAATTGTTTCTTCATAATTTTTTAAAAATTGTATTCTCAAATATAATAAATATGAGAACAATCCGTCCTTCAAAGCGACCCAATGACGCTGAAACTGGGATATTTGCATATTAAATAGAATTTTTTGGCAAATGTCATTCAATTTTTGAAAGTTTAAGGTTTTTTAATATTATAGGTATTATTAATAAAAAGGTAATTTTTGTCTGGCCCAGGACGAAAATAATGCTTCTATTGTTCTCTTTCCTCTTGATGAACCAAGAATATCAGCTGTCTCGTTTAAAGTCATCATTTTGTAAGTTCTATGGTCGATACAATGACCTTGTCAGCAAATACAATTTATCATTGAGTCAAATGCTGACTGACGTTTTTCATACCAATTGTTAGCCCATTATTTATACACTGAATTGACGACGGATTTTTCCATTATTTCCTGATCATAACAAGGATCACACGGCGGGTGTGACTGGTCAGCAGGGATGCTTACATATCCATGGCACCTGATCCAATCTCTGATGTTTCGGAGGTCCGTGTTTGCTCTGTTCTTCTTTTGTATTGTTTTATGGACTTTGAGATTGAACACTGTTCGTTATCTCTATATTCTTCTTTACGCACTGAAAGGTTGAAGAAGTTACTTTGCTCTCAAAGCTCAAGTGAATGTTGGTAGACCAAGAGTCTTAATACAATCTTCAAAAATTATTATCAGAATATTATTCTCACCTTTTTATGCTCCATTTCAATTTTGTTTACTTATAATACTACTTAACACCTATAATTTTAGTAAAGTAAAGGATAGAAAGATTACAAAATAAATTTGAAATATTATTCTTAAAGGTTATCTTAAATTTCTCTGTTGTCAAAGCAGAACAATGCAGTATTAAATTAATGTATTTCCTTTAGCAGGACAACGACACTCACACACCTTGATGAAGAATTCTTTACAATAAGCATAATACAAAACACTTACCACTCAAATGAAAGACGAATGCTTCAATACTTGTTTTTCTTAGATTTCTACCAATGCTGCATAAAAGTTTATGAAGTGGAAAGTCGGTACTCTCCTCATCTAAAATTAAGAAAAAAATTCAGCATACATGAATGAAATAGTGGTTATTTAGACTGGTTGTTAAGTACGCGTTTATAAATTTGAAATATTTCATATAACGTACATTATTAATAAACAATTGCAATATGTTAATAATAACCGTTCCATAGATCTTTCTTAGAGGTTAGAAGTAGAAGTTAGGAGTAGAAACTGGAAAAAAAAGTGTTTATACAGTCGAAAAGACCGGAAGTGTCATTCCACTTCCAGCCTCCGGCTCGTGCAACATGTGTCAAACCCTGACTACTATATAGGCAGAGCGCATGCAAAACACAACACTTTTATTTAAGTAGAATGTATATTCGAATCTTTAAGTATTCTTTAAGATTCCTTATCCATTTCATATTAATCTCAACGAAAGTTTACTCTGTTTATTTGATTTTCTTTTACTTTGGTGCATAGTCCTTGATTCTGTATACTAAACAACCCATTGCCTAAATTTTCGGGAGGCTTAAAAATTCGATCCTTCCCTCATGATTATTGTACCTCTCGAGGGCAATCTTTATGCAACCCCCTCCTCACTATCATGGAATACATGTACGATGTGAACTTTTTATGTCGTAATGGCGAGAATTAATAAAAACCTTAATGTTATTTACAGGCATTATAAGAAAATAAGATTATTTGTAATAAAGAAAGGGTCTTATGATTCGAAATGAATGTGCTAAATCAATAAAAAGCTACTAAATATCAAATTTATAAAATTCATCAAGGATGGTTTTACGTTTTGCTCACCTTTTTTTAATGTAACCTGTTCGGGAACATACGTAACTGTAAAATAAGAAAATTTAAGTTTTAATAACTGAAAATATTCAGTTCATTTTTTGAGTTTCTCTAAGACAACGCAGCACAGTTATGGTTACCAAAAAAAAGGCGGGGCCTACTTTGAAAGGGAAAAACTTAACCATGACATCAAACAAAATATACGTTATATAACACTTCCTTATAATACCACAAAATGAGTTGATTTGCTAATTTAACCAGTAAGAAATCATCAAACTATATAAAAAAAACTTACTACGGCGTGATGGTTTGTCGGTAATGAAATCCCACAAAAGAAGTTATAAATAATTCACTGATCGCAATATACTTGCCAATGTAACGTCATTTCTTAAAACGTGACGTAGTTTGTATGCAGTGAGAGACAGATCAAGTAATATTTTCTCAACAAAAAATGTATTCTACAATTGGATAAAATATAATTCACTGATATTCTATAAGCCGTTAACTTGAAATTGATGTCTTATTCCATATTTTATTAATAAATTTTCTGTGCATTACGTATAATTTACACTGGTCAAATAAATTACATTTATATGCAATCACATCGGTGGGAAATGTGGGGGATCTAGAGCAGGGGCATACACTAATGGATCGTCGCCTGCGTGGCGCAGTGGTTAGAGCGTCTGCTCTAGATTCGCTAAGTAAGGGGTCAATCCTTACGTCGCAGGTCCGAATCCAACTGCGGGACGTGGATATCAGTCCTTCGGATGAGACCGTATAAACCGAGGCCCCGTGTCGCAGTAGGTGCTTGCACGAAAAAGATCCCTCACTGCTCAAAGGCCCTAAGTGCCGAGCATAGGACAAAATTTGTAGCCCTCCATCGGCAAGTGGTAGCGTCATCATATGAGTGAAAAATTCTCGAGAGGGACGTTAAACAATATACAATCAATCAATCACTTATGGATCATAGTAAGCTTTTACAATTCAACTTTAGAACTATGAAAGTATCTGAAAAGTACTGCATCTTATGACATCTTAAAAAAAAATTCCTTATATCAATATCTCATGCCGTTGTCCAGCAAAAATTACAGCATTCGATCATACAAATATAATTTTAACAATGAAATTGCAGAATTTAGATAGGATTGTAGCATTTTTTAGAAACTAAAATGTGTGTTGAAAATATTTTTACACTAAACTTGGAATTTTAACTTGGTTATGCCCTTGCACTTGTGGAATTTATATGTAACACCAATACAACAAATAATTGGGCTAAAATCACGTGACAACCGCATCACGCTACAAGTCTAAATATAAAGCACAATCGTCTTCGATGTGTAGTTATTGACCATAATTACAATTATCCGATATAGATAATGTATTTCAAAAAAAAATCGCCATCCGGTTTATGAATACATTTTTAGATACAACATATTGTCGATATTTCCATTGCGCACCTTAACTGTACTGCGAAGATAGCAAAACAATGATAAACTGGGTTCAACGAGCCAGATACATGTATTGCAGATCCTCTCTCTCTCTCTCTCTCTCTCTCTCTCTCTCTCTTGAGTGATTGATTGATTGATTGGTCGATCGAAACGATAAAAATTAAAGTAAGGATATTGTCTTTATTCATTTAAATGGGTAAAGTTATAAATGTTAAATATCTCAAGCAATATGATATGATTTAACTTAAAAATACATGAACAAAATATTCATATTGTATGAATGTATCATACTTGTATGCGGAAAAAAATGTTTCTATGGATTTGTCGACTTCTTTAGAAATCGAAATGCACGTTATTGCTTTTGTTCCTCTTGTCTTTTTTTTTTTAGTTTTTCTTGTTTATATAGGAAGAAAACTGTTTCCTCATTCTATGGGCAGAAAATATTTATGTCCATGTGAACCAAGTATTTATGACATACGTTTCTGTAGAATTGAATCACAAATCGATATTGGAACACAGTCCAGTTTGCCTTCTGATTCATTGCAGTCGCCATTTTTCAACTCATCAGATTTTAACTTTAAACCGATGGATATTAATTTTTAAAAATTATGACAGAAAATATATTTTCAAAATATATTATAGATCATGTCAATTTTAGTGTAATTATCTTCAAAAAAATTTAATTCACACATCATTTCAATAAAAAGATTTATTTTGTAGATGTGTGAAGCAACAAACACGCATGGTTGGCTTTTGTTCATATTTCCTGCTTTCTCCAGCAATTACAGTGTTCTCTCTGTATTTCCAGAGTACAATACAAAACTGTTTCATTAATTGCTGCTACGTGACTTTCTATAATGTCATCCATGTTTCCTCCTTTAATAAGGACTGCTAATTTTCTGAAAATTGATTTCTTTTCAACGAAGCAGAAAAGTCATAATTTGGAGTAATATTGTAGGATGTAATTGGAATAATACTTTAGGATGTGAAAATTAATTAATTTGAACGTTGAATTTTTTCTTATTTTGGGCCAATTTTCTAAGGATATGGAAACAGACTTAATTTATTGTATTGATATTGTTTTACTTAATCTTGACCTGCTATGCGCTCCCATATTCACATTTTAAAACTATAAACAGGTTTGAAATAAATTAGTATGCTTATAATATACTTGATACACGACATTTAAATTTATTGTTGAAACAAACCTGTGAAATGTGTTTATAATATGACTGAGATAAAAGCAATGACGGTAGTCCGAGAACTTTCTGAACAATCCTCGTATGACACCGGGCCCAAGGATCATGAAACAATCTTAGACTTAAGTCAAATTTTCAATCTACTGTAAAATATTCATTATTTATTGAATTATTCTCTAATTTTATAAATAACAACACGTTTGCAAAAACAATATTGGGAAACAGTTTGATTTTGGCCTGTTATACTTCAACATAATTTTAATACAACAGACAGAATTTGACTTAAGCTTAAGATGCTTGATGATCTTGGGGCCGGGTTCGTACAAAATTCTTGTCTACAACATATTTGAACAAATCTTGTATTTTTCATTCGAAATTAATACAAAATGGGGTTTAAAAAATATTTCCCTTACACAGCTTCAATTAGTAAAGGAAAAAGTTTAGTGTTTTGAGATATGTACTGTTTTCTTCTTCATATATGAACAATGTTTGAAAAGTATGAGACTCTATTATACATTTGTTGTGTACATTCGTATAAATGCATATTTTTGATAAAGCCGTTTTGTTAGTTTCTTAGATATACTTATGATTTCGGCATTGTTTAAATATTTAAATTGATGTGCTGAAAATTTATTATGGAAAATCAATTATTTTATTTGATCTTCGGAAAGTGCACAGCTGCACGTGTTTCTAATTGCTCAAACTTGACAGCTCTCTCTCTCCATTCCGCGGTATCGATGCTATTAGCTCATAATTGTTATCAGGTTTATGGTCAGATCTTAGACTGGTGTTTCTTTGAATTTGTTATGCTTACTCAAATTGCTTCCTGTGTTATAAATTAATGTCATTGAACTTTCCCCTAACTTTACTACTATTTTTAAACTTGTTTCATTAGTTCGTTTATGAAATGTGGGAGGATTTGACAAAGATGAGACGTGTGTGAGTTTGTCTGTAATTCACGCTCATTTTGGGAATTTTGTGTAAAAATGTAATTTTTGATTTTGTACTTTTGGACTTGAATAAATTCTTAACTTCAACACAATATAATTATTACACAGTACTGAAAAGTTTGCACATTATATATCCATATGTAAATAGTAAAATACAAGTAACATACCTTTTCGATAATTCTGATTTTCGATTGGTCCTTTGGATGATAATCTTTTTCTGTACCATAATACTATTACCCCTGCTAAAATCATCACAATCGGCACACAAATTGCAATCGCCACAATTCTGCAATTTATAATGTGATGATTGAGTAACCAACATTGTTGTTTTATAATAATCTAATTTTAAAAAAAACTATATTGCATGAAAACCTTATCTTTTTGTTTTTACAGTCTTTATTATTTGTTTAAAATTGTGTTAAGCGAAAAAAAAGAAACATGCAAGGCAAAGAAGTGGATAGTTTGAAATATGGTTTGATATGCCATGATACTTGGATGATATTTTGTCTTGTCTCCCTGTCTGAACCTATGTCACTTAGGAGATTGTAGTGACGATTTAGTATTATTTTGATTCATAAAAAAATGATGAAAGCACTGGTATTATTAATTCAACATGGAAAAAAAGACGAAATGATATTTTATTCTGCCTATGAAATTGTTGCTGTATAACACTATTTCAGTAAGCTTACGTGGAATTGTCTGTTTCCTGATCTTGATCTTGATTTTGATATGGACTAAAACAAAACGATACTCATGAATTAATTTAATTTCAACAGTCGATTAAATGAGGAAGTATCGTCTTTCAAATCCAATTCATACATTATCATTTTCTTAATTTGAAAAAGAAAAATATATGTTTCAATCCAGCATTACATATCAGTAAACACCTTCCTACTTACGTCGAATATTGTGTTGTTCTTCGGGTAGTACTCATGGAAATTATTTCTGACCTGGAAGAAATATTCATCTAACGAACAATTTAGCTAAAAATATTGTACTTAAGGAAACATCCCATTATCTATATTAGTTACAGGAGAATAGATATTTTAAATTTGTAATTAAATCATCTTGTGCTCATTATCTTCATGTTCACCACTAACCAAATATTCTTTATAAATTTATTTATATACTATAATCTGACAAAAAAAATTTCTTTAACATCAAATCTTTATCTATGTGAAAAAAAGACGTTTATTTTTATTTTTTTTACTGTCTTTCCACAGAAATTACAGGTTGTTCACGCTATGTGTTTAAACAACCTGAAAATATTTCTTTGGCCACTAAGTCACAAAACGAAAACAAGGACCAATAACAATTTACAAATTCAATTTCAATTTAGGAACTTTAGATTATGCGCAAAGTCATTTCTTCTTTGCTGATAACGTCGATAAAAACTTTAATAGCAACACCGCAATCTTGAGGATGATATAAATTTAGCAGTTTCTTTAAAGAGTGAAAATGAAAAAGACATAATGTTATCTGTTATTTTTAAATAACATTGCTTTATACGTCTTGAATTTGTTATCCAATGACATAGATTCATTCTAGTCCTAGGAAAGAACAACGTTTTAGATTTAATTTTAAACCCTGATTTCATGAAATTACAGTTAATTCCAAATAAGAATAACTTTTTGTTCTTTTAAATATTACCAATGAAATGTTTGGAAGTTCATTTGATAAATCGCAACTTTTCTGTCAAATGATATTCCATGTTACAATTTCTTACTTACGTCGCATAATATGCTGTGATCTCGTTTGTTCGTTTGGTGGATGGATCAACGTCTTTCTCTGAACTGGAACAAAACACTATTTAAGTACATTTCACTAATTTCCGTAATTGTAAATAAAGGTCCTTAATCTGAAAAAACCTTCATATTTGTCTAGTATCTAGTCTTCCTGGAATATTGAAAGGAGGAATTTTTTTTTCCTAATATGGTTAAATGAATATCATTCAAGTCCACGTTGTTACGATAAGTTTCAATTGTACAAAATGCAATGTTTTATTATTCTTTAGTAAAAATTATATTCATCTTAATTGCATTAAAAATGTATCCACTTTGTCTCCTTAATGCTCAGTTGCAGATTTTGATAGTTATTACTTCTGAATAAATCTCAAAAGAAACCCGTGTTTCTTGTAAACTTGTTGCATGACAACAAACGACAAATGAAGAATTACAATTATCAGAGGCAGTGTTAAACAGTAAGATGAACTCTAAAGTTTTTTATTTTTAGTTTTTTTATGGGAAAAAATGTTGAAGCCGTCGCAGAAGATTTTATCAAACTCACAGAAATCCCAATTCAAATACTGACAAACAAAAACAGTATTTTTTTTTTATTTTTTATACTATGTGGTTAAAGCAGATCAACTTTCTATTTCATACGTATTGATTCGTTTTGTGATGATTCTTTTTTTACCTTCTCTGAAATTATCTTAAATATTTTTTTGAAATAAAATTATTTTGCACATCGGACCGAGTTGACGTTTTATCTGCAATTGTGTTGGTTTATTTGATATAATCCAATAGTTTTATTATACCTTAAGTATGTGCCTTTTTAAAGTAAGCAAAATTCGACAACATTGCATTTACATCAGAAAATATATTTCCTGCATATTATGTACGTGTCACATCTGTTCATTTGTTAATTTACTATATAACTGTTTGCAAATATTTTTCTTAGATGAACTTATTGGAAAGAAAATACGTGAACTTATTTGGGGGTCATATATGTACGTAATAGCCTAATAGCCTGACCGAATCACAGATCAAGATGACATCATGTCTGCAACTGGTTGCGGGTCTATAAACTAATTTCAAATATGGATATTTTTCCTTCAACAGATGTTCAAAAGATATTACTTTGGTGTGAAAAATGGTTTAAATACTTTACTTAGCCTAAATTCTCTCTTACTGTTTTAACCCGAAGTTATTTATATTAAAACAGTCGATACAACTACCTTTGACTTCAAATATATAACGGAATTAAACGGTTAAAACATGCTGTATTTTTTTCGGAATAGTCGTCTCAAATGTATTTATACATGTAAGCTATAAACAACAATGTTAAAAAGATCTGTGGGAAAAGTACTTGGTCGGGACGTGATCAACCAAGTTCATTTCCCAGAGAAATTTTTAACGTTGTTGTTTATTTCTTAAATAAACTTTTTTTTTAAGTTTTACATTTTATTTTTATTGAGATATCATTAACCTCAACATGACGTCACTTAGAGCGAATTAATTGGTGTATACTTCTAAGCTTGAGTGTTAATGAAAATGGCTCTCAAATCTATCTCGTATTTGGTGAGATTGAGAAACACAGCAAATGAAATGTATGTATATACGTAGCTATGTTTGTAACAGTTACAGAAACAATAACATCTTAATTTGTAATCTTAACCCATATTTGAAAAAGGTAGCTATAGTGCATTGATTGTTAAAATAGCGTTTTGATTAATCAGTTAGTTTAGCTTTGTGGTCAAAGATTCGATATTGACCAATTTGAGAACATGCAAAAAGCAATCATATATATTTGTTATAAAAAATCATTACCACTCCTCAGCACAGTTTGAATCGGCTCTGTAGCAACGACACCTTTTATTTATATTCAAACATTCTGAGTCTGAAACAGAATTTTAATAAATATCTTTTAAGATCAATATACATATATCATTTGAAGTCATCTAGATCTCTTTTAAATAATGAAAAGGAAATAGTGCATTTTAGTTCAAGGATTTGAATGTATTTAAAAATAGTTCAGAATAGATTAATGTCGCGCGATTATTACTATAGGATTAAGGAGAAAGACAAGAATGCATTTTTCCCCCTGATATAGATACACCTGGCTTGAAAGGATCATTTCAATCCGTTCATACATATAACAAAAACTATTTACGTACACTGCTTATTTAAGATATATGTATTTCTCATTTCTTTTAACATAAGAGGATCATGGATCACAATGTCCAATTCATATAATATGACCATGCTATATCATCATCCTACGAAAACCTTTGTCCAATCCAACCTTACGATAAGTAGCAGGGAAAAAAGATTATTTTTGTTTACATATAGAAATATACTTACACATATAAACCATTTTTGAAAAATAAAGCTGTTCAGGACATCCAGTAGAAAACTTTTCACAGCTCTTAGCATTCGGGGAGACATTATCACCGAACTCATACGTGTATATGGGACAATTTCCTGCAAATAAAATGATTTATTTTATTCGATCCTTAACTGAAAAAAAGACTATTAAATAAAACTAAAAACGTGTTCTTTTAGTTTTTCAACTTAATGTCTGTTTCAGTTATATATTGAAAAAATAAAACAGATATGTCAAAGATCAATTTTGCAGACTTCCGTTAAAGATCTAAAATTTTTACACTATGCAGCATCTTTTTCCCTTTTCCATATGAGTATCATTTGGAGAGAAACAAACCTTTGAGTGATACCGTATAGGAAAAAAGTTTAGGGTGATGTTCACTTAGGCATATTTCATCGATTGTGATTGTTGATGTATTCTATATTGTTTAACTCCGAGTCGCAATATTTCAGCCATATTTTTCGTTTTAGCTATAGCAATTTTGAAGTAGCCCGCTAAATATTTAGCTTCAATTTGGCACCCATGCATATATATAAGTGAATACAAAAATTAATTTCACAGGCTGTTGTTTAACTATGTTTAACCTGATGTTTGGTTTTACTTTTTAGAATTATTATTCAATATCAATAAGCATAGGTGAAATTTGTGTGCTCATACTAGTGTTTTTGACGTAGATATTTTATAACCAAAAGAATATTTTTGACTGGCAAAGACATAAATCCAACTTACCTTTCTCAACGGGTACACTTACACCACAAAATTCCACAGATTCGTTTAGGAAACTACTAGGCAGACAATGGTAAACATGTGATTGTTCTGTTGGACTTTTTGAGGTTAGATTGTGTATGCATCTTAATGAGTCAGATGCTCTCAACCAATCTGAGAGGTTGTTTGCCATTGGGCAAAATTCTACTTCGTGAATCCATTTCGGTTTACATGTAATGGAATTTATCTGTAAAAAAAGGGAAGTGCTTAGATTATGATGACTGAAGAAAGGCTAATATTTAATAATTCAACAAGACGATCTACTTAAACATCATAAAATAACAGGAAAACATGCTTTATACCTTTCAGAGGGATAGTTGCTTTCCAACAACTATGCATTTACTAAAGTAACTTGCATAACTGTATTTTATCAAATATTCTGGAATACTCATTTTTTGAATTTTACAATAATGAATCAGGTTTTTGTAATGCTGATACTTACTATCAGAAGAAATGATATTGCAGAGAATATAGACAGAAACATTTCCATGTACAGGTCTCTGAAAAAGTTAAATAAATTATATGAACAAGGAATCAAAAACTGTAAATTAGAAAAGTTCGCATTTTAAATAATTCAAATATTTTTGATTGATTGATGGTATATTGTTTATCGTCCCTCTCGAGAATGTTTTAAACATTTGGAGACGCCTTCACTTGCCAGAGCTGCATATTTTGATTTATGCTCGGAAATCCGGGCAATTGAGCAGGGAGGGACAGACAGATGGATCGACAGCTAAACAGACGGGGGAGAAAAAAACCTATTGTCACTTCTGGTTTTGCAGGTATGAAAATACAAGAGGCCCACGGGCGTTATAGGTCACCTGAGTATCATGTAACATCTTTCCAACAATTGAATTTGGTTCGTGTTTTAAACCAGAGGCCACGAAATTCACAATTTACAATTTTGAAAGAGGCACCATTGCTTATCATAATTTTTAACTTAGAATGCTTACTCTATTTACTTAATACCCAGAGGTAGATCAGAGTAAAAAAGAGAGAATGCACTTCCACTTTATACCCAGTTGTGCTACTCACCCTAAAGGAACCGCTGACCCATGGGCTACATATTTCAAAATTTTGCAAATGTTATCATAAAATGGTTGATTAATACCAAAGAGCAGATTTCAAAGCAATAATTTATTTTCAGACTATGTAACCCCCCACCCCCCTCTGACCCCGGGGGCATAAAGAAACCACTTTGCTTGATGCACCTTTCTTCATCATAAATATATATATACTTGGATCATTGGCATAAAACCCAGAAACAAAGGAAAATATTTTCAAAGAATTAATGTATATTTTTACTACATAATCAATAGAGTCCCGCCTTAACACCAGAACCCCTGACCCTGGGGCCATAAATTCACAATTTTGGAAGAGGCACTCTTGCTCATCATAACTATGTGATTAGTCAGTTTATTTAATACCCAGAAGCAGAGAAGAAGATTTTCAAAAAATAATGAATTTTAACTATATAATCAATAGAGCCCTGCCGTAACAACAGAACCCCTGACCCTGGGGCCATAAAATTCACAATTTTGGAAGAAGCACTCTTGCTCATCATAACTATATACTTAGTTACTTTATTTAATACAAAAAAGCAGAGAAGAAGATTTTCAAAGAATTAATGCATGTTCACTATATAATCAATAGAGCCCCGCCCTATCACCAGAACCTCTGACCCTGGGGCCATAAAATTCACAATTTTAGAAGAGGCACTCTTGCTCATCATTACTATGTGCTTAGTCAGTTTATTTAATACCCAGAGGCAGAGAAGAAGATTTTCAAAGAATAAATGCATTTTCACTATATAATCAATAGAGCCCCACCCTAACACCAGAACCCCTGACCCTGGGGCAATAAAATTCACAAATCTGGAAGAGGCACTCTTACTCATCATAACGTTGTGCTTAATTAGTTTATTAAATACCCAGGAGCAGAGAAGAAGATTCTGAAAGAAATAATGTATTCTCACTATAAAATCTATAGAGTCCCGCCCTAACACCGGAACACCTGACCCTGGGGCCATAAAATTCACAAATCTAGAAGAGACAGCCTTATTCAACATAGCTATGTGCTTAGTTAGTTTATTAAATACCCAGGAGCAGAAAAGAAGATTCTCAAAGAAATAATGCATTTTCACTATGTAATCTATAGAGCCCCGCCCTAACAACGGAACCCCTGTCCCCGGGGCCATAAAATTCACAAATCTGGAAGAGGCACTCTTACTCATCATAACGTTGTGCTTAGTTAGTTTATTTAATACCCAGGAGCAGAGAAGAAGATTTTCAAAGAAATAATGCATTTTCACTATATAATCTATAGAGCCCCGCCCTAGCACTAGAACCCCTGACCCTGGGGCCATGAATTTCACAATTTGGGTAGAGGACTCAATGCTCATTACATTCACGACAACAGTTTGCCTGCTTGATGTCTAGGAGTAAAGAAGAAGATTTTTAAAGACTGCAATAATTTTAGTGGTTTTGGCCCCACCCCTTAGGACCCAGGGGGTGGGGATCATGAAATTCACAATTTTTGTTTCCCTCCATCCATAGATGCTGTATACCAAATTTGGTTGAAATTGGTTCAGTGGTTTTAGAGAAGAAGCTGAAAATGTTCAAATGTTAACATACGACGCACGACGGACGACGACGGACGAAAACGGATAGCAATAGGTCACCTGAGTTGTCATTATATTTTTACGTCACAAACGTTAAATGTCATACTAATATCATGGAGATTTTATCAATCCCAGTGCAACCAATGTAAGTGAAATATTACTGTACAGTTGTAATCAGCATGTGTTTCAATGCAAAAGGTAGCAAAGTGATTTAGTGCAAGAAATATAAAGATAACGAACACTAATCAATCTTAAACGTTTATTAAAATAATACAGCTTTTGGGTCGAGCACACAAGCACATCAGATGTGATGGAGTAGTCACCTGCTGACTGGTTACACATGCCAAGTGCTCCATGTCATGATTTAGCAAATCAAAAATCCGTAAACATTGAAAGGATATACTTACAAATATCAATATTTATAAAAAGCAATGATATAACCTAAAATATAAACTATTTGCCCGTATTATAGTTTGGGTCGAATTTATCGGCCTGTAGTTCAGTAAGCATAGTACCTAGAAAGTCCCGTATTTGATTTTCGATAAAGTCCTACACTTTCTCCCTTCCGGTTGCATAAATCCCTACCGCTGAACGTCCTAGATCTAGCATGTGAAAGTTCAGCCAGAGGCAAATTAAAGCATGGATTGAATTTTGGAGAGCAAAGACAATTTAAAGAGGGTATGGGTAGGGGATGTTGGCCTGGATAGCTCAGTTAGTGCAAGACCTGACTAGAAATGCAGTGGTTGTGGGTTCGATTCCCGTTAAGCCATATATTTCTTTCCTTTCCTGCTGTTTCCTGTTGCGCTTTGTTTGATTTCCTTTTAATCATTGAGTTTTTTCCTAAATTCTTTTGCTTTTATTCAAATAACAGCTCAGCTCGTATCTATTTCTATTGGATTTTTTCCCTATAAAACCTTTTGACACTAAATGTTATGTATAGGTCAAGAACATCTTGTAGGGTGTATTGTTACATAGAATTTCGAAATATATACATGTAAAGTATTGCCTATGGGGAATTTGTAACCTAAATATTAACCAACTGTTTATTTCTGTTTAAAAAATGTGATCGAACACACGATGAAAAAAATTTAAAATGCAATTCATACAATAAAGTGAGGGATATACAACAAGCAGTCTTCCGAAGTATCTTTAGATTGAAAACATTATTGATCCATTTACACATAGAATGTATAACTGATCCAAACGCTATCTATACATGAATTTAAAATATTGATAAATCACTAGATAAAATTTGACTGACAAACAACTTTTTTTTGCAAAAATAAATAGCATCCCCTTTATACGAGAATAAACATGAAACCCTCTCGATCCACATTTCGTTGGACAGATAACACACAAGGCTAGGCAATCATTCCTTAAAAATGGGTTTTAAAGACAAAGAAGCACAGCAAAGAATGGCAATCGATTGCACCCTTCCTCGTTTGTCATTCATTCAGAAAAATATTATTACATCGTTAGGTAATTTTCGTGTACTCAATGAATACTTGTAAAGACAATGGACATAGCTAAAAATAAAGAAAATGGGAAGTGAAATAGATCAAAGAACAATCTTAGATGCGTTTAGTAACATAGAAAATTTAGAATCCGCAAGATTACAGAATGTAAATTTCGTAAAAATCATAAATGCTAAGTTTTAGTTGAAAAAAAACTTAAATTTCAGTTAGATCCTTGGTGACTGCAGTCTGCAAATCAAATAAAAATTACATAATTTTTCTTTTGTTCATGTATTATGACGTCAAGACTTAACGTGTAATGTTCCTCAAATCTTGACAATTTATTTAAAAAAAGCCAAAAATTTAATGTTTTTAAATATTTTGCATACCCCAAAAATTTTATCTAAAACATTCTATTATATAATGAAATAACTGTTTCAGAAGATTCTAATCCATGAAAAAAATGAATGACTTGGTTGGCTAAAATGTTGTAATAGTTGAAGATGCTCAAATTCACTCATCTTTTACAAAATTCAAGAAAGATTGCAGTTTACCAAAGCTTGAGTTTCAAAACATTGACTCTTAAAGGAACTTTTTTAAAGGAAATTAAAGCATAAAGTCTCCACTTTGTGTTTATTTTCGAAATGGACAAATGGACTTTGTCAGTTACAGTTGTAATTGGGATAATGACAGGGCCATTTAATGGAGTTTGTTAACCCACCTCTTTATTATCAAATCAGCTAATGGCTTCATAGAGTTCTCAAAAATGAGACCCAAGGGCCTTGACTTCAAATAACTGTACAACTTATCAGTTCTATCTGAAGCCTCTAAGTATCATGTATATTTAGATAAAACTATGAAATTCCAAAAGTAGGTCTTCGTTACCTACATTTTGTTTACAAAAGCTCTGAAAACTCAAGAAAAATCAACTGAAAAGTGTGATGATTAAATGTGTTTTATATCTTAAATGATGATTTAAAGTATTTTATACATATATCTTAAATGTTCAGATATAGCCATCACATTATGAGATTCCAAAAGTAAGTCACAACAATCTACTTTTGGTGCACATACTCCGAAACTCTAAAATGCCTCAACTGACAATGTTTAATGATTTTTAACTTTTTTTATTTGAAATGTTTAGATATTGTCCTGAATGGTAGGTCACTGTTGACTCATTCGGAGGATAAAGCCTCCCCTGCAGATTTGTCACACTTGCAGTGTGCTCCTTCTCATGATCTGGAAATGACAGGAAAATCCGTCGTCAATTCGGTGTATAAATAATGGACTAACAATAAGTATGGAAAACGCCAGTCAGCAGTTGACTTAATGATAAATTGTATTTCCTGACTAGGACATTGCATTGACCATCGAACTTACGAAATGAATGCGTCAAATATAAGACAGGTGAGGTTGTCAGAAAAAACGAAATGAATATTAACATAAAGCTTCAAGTGGTTTATTAATATCAGGGCCAAGCTGCAAATGGGAAGCATGTTGGATTGATTGATTTATTGTGTACTGTTTAACGTCCCTCTCCAGAATATTTCACTGATATGGAGACGTCACCATTGCCGGTGAAGGGCTGCAAAGTTAGGCCTATGCTCAGCACTTGCGGCCATTGAGCAGGGAGGGATCTTTATCGTGCCACACCTGCTGCGACACGGGGCCTCGGTTTATACGGTCTCATCCGAAGGACTGCCCCAGTTAGTCGCCTTTTACGACAAGCAAGGGGGTAATGAGGAACTATTCTAACCCGGATCCCCACGGGCATATTGGAAGATTGTTCCATTTTTTTAAACGACATCATTGTCAGTAGAATTGCAGAAAAAACACTAAACTAATACGTATGCAGCTTTGTTAGAAAATTTGTGTGTAAAGCATTTCTGACCTATGCCAAATATGTTGGTGAAGACAATTTAACATTTTACAAAGGAATCTGATGAAAAATACGTACACATTTGTCATCGCGTTCGATCATTAAAGCTAAAATAAGACATCGCAAAACGCACTCCTAGTCCGAAGGATATAAAATCATGAAATAGTCGAATAAAATAAATTTCTATGACAGGACAGTAGTAAAGTACTAAAAGTGAGAATATTTACTTTGATGTGTTGAAAAGATATCTTTCTAAATGAAAATGAATGAGCAATTTAAAAACAAAATACATGTAATGGAGTGGGGTTATAGTGTCTTTAGCTTTTTTTTCTGCATTTCACTTATCTAAAATATGTATTTTATTAACTCTTTTGTTCATTGGTTTTACCTGGTGTTGTGATAGTATATAGTATAGAGTACATGTATATAGATAATTGGTTTGATATTCTGCACCATATTTTAAGCAATACCAATGTTACCACCCAGTTTAAGGGTATTTGAATGTCAACATCTCGTACGTTCTGTTTCGTCACACAAAACATAAATTATATATAAATTTAAAGTATTTTTAAATGTTTCTTAATGGAGCATTTTCTTAATGGAGCATTTTTATTGCAATATCTACATATATTATTGACTCTTAATTTCATCCAAGATGGCGTTCATTGGGAAAATCAATATTAGTTCATATTTTCAAAGGAACATATTTTTTTTTTAGATTTTCTCATTCATTTTTAAGAAGAGAGAACCCCTCTGAATTAGACAAATTTTATAGAAGATGGCAAAAACGGGTAAGGAGTTACTTTCGAAAATGGAAAAGAAGCAAACGATTATTACAATGTAGGCCTGTTTGTAATGTCCTAACTGCGTTCATTATAACTCCAACAAATATTCAAAAAAAAATATTTTTGCTGTTAAACGGAAATATAGATTCATATATGATATTCAATTTAACATTTTGCAAAAAAAAAACACGAAAATGACTCACCTAATAGTTAGATCTACATATCATGAAATTTCCATTGCAGTGTTTCCTTAAATGTTCAATAAAATTACAAAATGGCTGACTAAAAATAATCCCTAAATCTCTCCTTTCAATTCGAACATCTCAGCACTGGAATTGGAGAGAATGGTTATGAGATAAAAAAAAAATAGAATATGTTAGCTTTCTAAATAAACCATATTTGTCAAAATTTTAGCCGAGCTGAATTTTTTTTTTTTTTTTTTTTTTTTTTGTATATGCGGAGGTAGTGATTAGGCCTGTGACTTGCTTTTTCAAGCACCTACTTGACTCAAATCGACGGAAACAAACATTCATTTTTGTTCTACATCCGACTAACTGGTTAGGAATAACTATCACTATATTATGTTAATCAACTAGGTTTAAAGTATTTTTTCTGGTACATTTCCCTACCTATATTTCTATGTTATTTCTATTTTTGAAAATTTTGTATCCATGTTGAATTTCTCCTGTAGGGTAGAAACTGTTAAATATATAAATTTTGTTGATTTGATTTGGACAGCTGATTTTCTATTAAACACTGTGAGATCCTGTTTACAAGAAATACAAAGATGTAACAGAGTTAACGTACTATATGACAAATGGCTGCAAAAGGACTAAGGAATGTTTTAGAAACTCGTGGATTTAAAAAAAATATCTTCCGTGTTTATTCTTTTCCCTCGGCAATTGTTATCTGTTCAAGCGAGGCAAGTACACCGTCTAAAAATTGAACTGGCAAGCTCTAAAATATAGAATCGTCTCAAAATTGTTCCTATACTTGAAAAGGTATATATTGATCGGGATGTATGTCCGTCTGTCTGTTACGCTGTGGAGTACTCTCTTCTTATACAATTAAGAGATTTAATGAGACTTTCACAGAATTTTTGTTACATAATGCTATTGTGCACCTTCTATTTTTTCTCTTTGATTGGACACATATTTTGGGTTTTCCAGATCAAAACATGGACACTACCGTTCTTTCTGTAATATCGGAGGGTGCCTATTTCTTTTCTGCAACTCCTCCTATACTAGTGGATGAAATTAAATGATACTTCCACAGATTCTGTATATATATGATGGCATTGTGCCTTTCCTATATTACGTTTTGATCTGACACTATTCGGATTTCCAAGAGCAGTTAAAAAATGGACCTTTCCTTTATAATCATATAGGAGGCGGAGGTATAATTTAGTGATCTCATTGCTCACGGTTACTGTAGTCTTACTCTTTATCGAATTCCTTGTAACCTTTATTCATGTTTTTTTGTCTTTACAAATTTTTGACATTTTTTTCTATAGCCGTTATCTTAATTTTACCCAAACATTATTACATTGGCTTCGATGATTGATTGATTGATTTTTTATTGTTTAACGTCCCTCTCGAGAATTTTTCACTCATATGGAGACGTCACAGTATGCCGGTGAAGGGCTTCAAATTTTGACCTTTACTCGGCACTCAGGGACATTGAGCAGTGATGGATTTTTATCGTGCCAACGCCTGCCGTTGACACGGGGCCTCGGTTTTTAAGGTCTCATCCGAAGGAACCGCAGCTTTCACTTCAAAGTGCCGAGCGTATGGCGAAGGAACAGTTGCTACCAATTTTAACGACTAGGTCAGTCGCGGCCGAGATACAAAATCACGACCTCCCGATCACGGAGCGAGCGCTCTACCGACTGAGCTACCGTGAATGGTCATTGGCTTCGAAGTTATATGTCATGACCTAAAAAAGGAATAACATTATAATTTACATTACACTAATGAATCAAATGAGTTCTTTGAAAGGACCGTCATTAAATAACTGAGTTAAACGTCATAGATTTCAACATGAACTGTCCACTATATAAAATGTTTAATCTATTTTAACCATGTATTTCCTAAAATGGCGGGGTAACAGCAATAATTTTCATCAAAGAATGACCCAAGGCAAAAGAGTGAATCTTTTTTACTTCAAAATCAAAAAAGGCTTTATTGCAGCCCAGAGGACCGGGCTGCTTTTTACATATAAGTTAAGTGTTGGTATATGGGGATTGAGATGTGAGAAGTTATTCAAAATGAAAGGTTTCTTAAACAGTAAAAAGATTGTTAATCAGAATGTTCTTTCCCCTTATAAATAACGAGATACATAATATATTTTCTCCCATAAAGTGAATATTTAGAAATAAATCTGTTTTTCATATTTGATACATATATATTAGGTTATTTTTCATTTACTATCGAAAAAAAACGACAGGTCCCTTTTTTAGAACATCGAATTTTACTCATCGTATTAAAAAGAACTTAACACATTTCGTGTTTTATATTCTTAAAGTGAAATATATTTCTGAAAATAGTTGATGCATGTGTCTGGTTTCGATCTTTATTTCATGCAGCCATAATTTTAAATACTTGAGAAATTGATAAAGTTTAAAAGGGTATCGTTTTTGTTCGATTTTCATTCGACTTTCAAAATACCGGTATTCTCGACTATCGTCTCCATTATTTAGACACATGCCTTTTCACATCGAAGCGGTTTTATGATCAAGACTTATTTCTATTGTTTATTTCATTTATTTACCGGGCGACAAGTTACATCAATATTTTCCTACTGAAATATAGTGTAAACGTTCCTTTAAAATGGCGTTTTTTCTCGATGCCAGAGATATGCCTCCATTAGGTTAGAAAAGAGTTAAAAATTTCAAGCAAAATTTAACAATATTGAACATTTTTGACATACTTTTTTGTTAGTGCAAGGCAATGATTTGTGAACTGCAAAGCAACATTTTTTATATGAATTATAAAATAAAACCAGTTATCCACCAAAATATATGGTATTGTTTTCATAATATGTTGACGGTGCGACCGTTATGGCGTGCGTAGATTTTGTTATCATTTGTAAGTTACATTTTCCAAAAAGAAGCCTGGGCCCGTTTTACAAAAGAACTTACGACTTACTACCAAGTTTGATTATTCATATAACTTTGTTATTAACATTATATCGAAAATTATTTTAAATTTTTAAAAAAGAATGTGGTAAGATATTTTATAAGATAATTTCAAACAGAATTATTAAGTTTGCAAACTTTTACAATAATCTGAAGTTTTTAGTCGTAGTCGTAAGTTCTTTTGTAAAACAGGCCCTGAACTGTGCTGAAAGTAAATGAAGAACGTTTCGTTTACTATTTATCCTTAATATTTATTCATCAAATCAGGGCATGTTTACTTTTAGTTGAACTTTTGCTGCGATTCTTGCGAGAACGCCATACAAGTGATGCATTGTGAGTTCAAATGATTCTGTCGAATGAATGTGCAGTAGACTGCAGTTCTCTTCGTACATGCGTTGCTTTTCGCTGCCGTACAGATTTTCAGTTCAAATTACGTACAACGTGACAGTTTTCTATTACGTTGAATCTATGATGTGACGTAACTGTGACGTCATATACAATGTAGATAAAGGTGTAAATACTTTCCGCCTAAAGGTTCACTTTTTGCAGAAAATGGGAAAAAAAATTTAATTCTGGATGTGATTTAAAATTTACTTTATATTGTATAAAATCGGTTGTCTACATCACAATGACTTGCGTCGAAAACATATCAATCCGTCTGACGTAAATTCAAATTTTGTGCAAAAAAATGTCATTTTGTTAGAACAATCATCTTTTTTTCTTACATCAATTGAATGAAATTTTTAATTTTCAAAATTATAAGCAATGAATTTAATAGCTACTCATTTTGCGGTATAAACTGGGTTGGAACGGTTTTATAAAGCGTAAACTGTCCCAACCCAGTTTATACCGTAAAAATGGGTAGCTATTAAATTCATTCCTTAAATAAAGAACAAATTCTACGACGACTGAACCCTTTAAAAAATTACATTTATACGAGGGTTGATCCAAAAGTAATGTCACAACTTCGATAAAATATCTCCTAGTCGACGTAAATTAACAAAATTTTACATGAAGGAAGCTATATTTATTTTAAATCAGTCCTGGAAAAATGAAATTAAGATGATTTATACTTTTCAAAATATCGAATCAAACACAAAGTGCGATTATGGTAGTCGCCGCACCTAAATAACGTCATAAAACGGATATGCACCGTCACACACTTTTAAAAAACGCCTTCCCATCGTTTTACTAAGAAATATGATATTCACAAAACATTCACCCATTTTATTTTCTTTAAGAACAATTGGCACTAATTGTACACTTTATCTATAATTTAATCCTTCATCAAAATTCTTTGAACAATACAATACGACAAACTTAAAAGTGTCTCATATCACTTAGACTGCCACTAATCTCTTTTACTACAACGTCGACGCCATTGAACGTTTCCAACCGACCTCCTATCTTTTCGGCATTTCTGTCCCCAAATGATCATTTATTTACCTAGTACCCGCCCAAAATCTCTGAAACCATCTATGAACAAGTCTCTTGTCAACATTCTTTCCTCTGCGAGTTTGATTTACCATCATAACTGTTTCTACTTGTGATTTCTCAATTTTGAAGGAAAAATACATTACAACTCGTTTCGGTGTTTCATTTCATTTCGACATTTCCTTTATGCAATACATCAGATATAAACAATACTGTTTATGATGAAAAAAACACAATGCTGCCATTTAATTTTTAACTAATGATTAGAAAATGTCGTAAATTTTGTCTTTTAAAATCTTGGACGATTAGACGATTTTTTAGATGCTTTTTTAAATGTGTTTTTTTTTCATTCTAACAATATTAACTTTAAAACGTGACGTTTAGTTGTGACGCGGCGACACCCCCTATGTTTAATGTTTTAAACATCTATAAAATGAATTCAATTGAACATTATTGAATGAAATTTTCAATTTTGATTAGATTTATGTTTATGCATCTTTTGGTGCATTATATTTGATAATATGACGCCAAATATTAAAGATATAGACACAGTGACATTACTTTTGGATCAACCCTCGTATATGCAAAAAATATATATTTAAGTAGACTATAGGTAAGGAGTTTTTTTCTAAATGATATACCGGTAATTTTATGTAACGTCAAGTACCCGTGTGTAAAATATGTAC